CCCCCGGGACTGACCCCCCTTTCCCCGGGACTGACCTCCAGTCTCCAGGGCTGACCCACTTCCCATGCCCCCAGGTTTGTTCCGAGGCCCCTGTGTCCCTATGAAGGGCATCCAGCCCTGTGCCCCTCCCCATGGCACCACGGCCTCTCTGCATTTCAGGGACTGACGAGCACGGGCTGAAGATCCAGCAGGCTGCAGCCGCAGCAGGGACGTCACCCCCGGAGCTCTGCGAGCGGATCTCGGGGCTGTTCCGCCAGGCCCTGACCCAGGCTGGCGTCTCCTTTACAGATTTCACGCGCACCAGCGAGCCGCGGCACCAGCGAGCCGTGCGGCACTTCTGGGGTGCCCTCTGCGCTGGTGGGGCACTCTACAAAGGCACATATGAGGGCTGGTACTGCACTCCCGAGGAGTGCTTCCTCCCAGAGAGCCAGCTGGCCGAGCGCACGGACGCCCAGGGACGCCCCTGCAAGGTCTCTCTGGAGAGTGGCCACCAGGTAACAGCACCTGTGCTGGCCCCAGCGAGGGCAGACATGCCTGCAGGAGCACTGAGAACTCATCTGTTGCTCTGCTCTAGCCGGATTTGGGGTGTTTACTGCTTCCTGTGGCCTTTTGTAATTCGTTTTGGCTGACACTCACTTGTATTTCAATAGGGTGTCATCTGTCAGTTTAAAAACCCCTCTGTGTCCTGGGCTTGTCCCCACAGCATGTGCAGTCGGTGAGGGTGTTCTCCCTCTCTGCTCTGGTGAGACCCCACCTGCAGTGCTGCCTCCAGCTCTGGGGTCTCCAGCACAGGAAGGACATAGACCTGTTGGAGCAAGTCTATGTCTATAAAGGCTATAAAGATGATTAGAGAGATGGAGCACCTCCTGTGAGGAAAGGCTGAGAGAGTTAGGATTGTTCAGCCTGGAGAAGAGAAGGCTTTAGAGTGACGTAATTGTGGCCTTCCAGTGCCTAAGGGGAGCCTACGAAGAAGATGGAGAGAGACTATATACGAGGGCCTGGAGTTAACAGATATGGGGGAATGGTTTCATGCTGACAGATGGCAGAGTTAGATGGGATATTGGGAAGAAATTCCTGTCTGTGGGGGTGGTGAGGCACTGGCACAGGTTGCCCAGAGAAGCTGTAGTTGCCCTGTACCCGAAAGTGTTCAAGGCTAGGTTGGATGGGTCTTGGATCAGCCTGGTCTGATGGAAGGTGTCCCTGCCCATGGCTGACAGGTGGAACAAGATGAGCTTTAAGGTCCCTTCCAAGCCAAACCATTCCATAATTCTCTGATTCTCTGTGGTATTATGGTGAGTGGAGATCCCAAGATGAGCTGCCACATCCCACCTGGCTGGTAGCCTTTTTTCTTAGCCACATGGAAGGATTCTGCTGCTGGTTCTGCAAGCTGCTAGCCTGGAAATGGTGTTTTATAGTGGTGATGAGAGGTTAGCTGAGTGGAAGGATAAAGGTGTTTATAACTGAGGGTTCCTTGGGTGTCCAGATTTCCAGTAGCTGAGGATAATCCTGCTCAGAGCTCAGCACAGGTTATGCTCCTGTGGTATTTGTACAAGGCTGGGACATAGGACTGTTGGTTCATACAGAAAGGGCTGTATTGGCAAATAATAACTCTCAAGAAAGCATCTAAGATAATTGGGGGAAAAATAAGTTTCCAGGCTAAGAAATCATTCTTTAGACCTAAAAGAAAGTCAGCAGGCTTCAAAGTCAAGTGTACCCTGAGAACAGTTCCCATCCTTGGCTGTGTATTGAACTATCCAAGGAAACAAGAGTGCGGACAGAGTAGAGAAGCTCTTACAGGTGGTGGGAAGGGATGAGAGGGTTTATCCTCAGCCTGAAAGAGGCAGTTGGGCAGTTTGTTGCTTGGGAGTTCTGTGAAGAAAAACAGGGAGTTTGCACGTGCCATGCACCCCAGACTGCTGGTGAGTGTCTGGTTTCTGGTATCCCGTGGATCCTGGGGGTGGAGATGTGCAGCTCATCTTTGAATTATGTTCTTTGGGTCTTCCTTGCACACTGTGAAATTCCTGACCCTGCCATGGATCCCTGAGTGCCTTACACAGCTCACTCATACCACATCCACCCACCAAGTTTTCACTGGTTTAGCCAAATGTGTCATTTAATGGGTTTAACTGTGGGGGAGAAGTGCTGTCAGTGCTGTAAGCGAACACAGCGACTGAGATGCACTAAGGCAGGAAGTGGAGAAAAAGAGGAACAGAGCACCCAGGAGAACAGCAAAGACAGACACCAGGAGTGTCATTGAGGCAGAAATTAACAGCATCAGTTTGTCTTTTCATGATTTTCCACTATTATTGCTAAACTGTGTTGTTAAGATAGTGTATTTTCATCTCCCTAACTCCTTCCCGTATCTACGTGGCAGGTAGAAAGATATTCCTTCCTGGAGGTATGTCTTTAAAAGCAGGGTGCTGTCCCATGCCAGGTGTCTGAGTCCTTAGGTGTGGTCCTGGGAATCCCAAGGAGGCAGTGACTTGGGCAAGCAGGTTCCTTCTAGTCATGGAAAGACACCAGGAGCTTCCCATAGGGTCAGAGCACACCCAAGCTCAGGGAGCGTGTGACAGGCTCCACACAGAGAATGCTGTGTGCAAACTGCCAGCCTGTTCTCGGAGCATTTATGCTGTAATCCTTTCCTCTCCTGCCATCCCAGGTGCACTGGACCAAAGAGGAGAATTACATGTTCAGGCTCTCGGCATTTCGGGATCCACTGCAGAACTGGCTCCGGGACAACCCACGCACCATTTCTCCCGACCCTTTCTACCAGCGCGTGCTCCGCTGGCTGGACGAGGACTTGCCGGACTTGTCAGTCTCCCGTGAGCGAAGCCGGCTGCAGTGGGGCATCCCCGTCCCCAGTGACCCCACACAGACTATCTATGTCTGGGTGGACGCCCTGGTGAACTACCTGAGCGTGGTGGGGTACCCCGAGAGCCACGGCGTGTGGTGGCCGGCCGCGCACCATGTTGTGGGCAAGGACATCCTCAAGTTCCATGCGCTGTACTGGCCGGCGCTGCTGCTGGCGGCAGGGTTGGCCCCCCCAGAGCGCATCCTGGTACACTCCCACTGGACAGTGCGTGGGCAGAAGATGTCCAAGAGCCTGGGCAATGTGGTGGACCCTGCCACGTGCATGGGGCAGTTTGGTGTGGATGGGTTCCGGTACTGTTCCGTTGCTTCCTGCTGCGGCAGGGCGTCCCGGAGCGGGACTGTGACTATTACGACGAGAAGGTGGTGAAGTTGCTGAATTCGGAGCTGGCAGATGCACTCGGAGGTCTGCTGAATCGCTCAACAGCCCCCAGCATTAACCCAAGCAACACCTACCCGCGCTTCTCAGAGGCCTGTTTTCCAAAGGTCTTGGGCACCAAGGAGGCAAAAGGCACGGGCAGGGTGTCTGCTGAGGACTATGAGCTCGTGGCAGCAGTGGCCTCGCTGCCTGTGCAGGTGGCCAGTTATTTTGAAGGTTTCCAGATCTACAAGGCTTTGGAATGCATAGCCCAGTGCGTGAGGCAGACCAATGGCTTCTTCCAGAGACACAGGCCTTGGAAACTTGACCGAAGCGATGCTGCAGAGCAGCTCTGGCTGGACACCATCCTCTACGTCACGCTGGAGTGCCTGCGTGTCTATGGGACACTCCTGCAGCCTGTGGTTCCGCACATGGCAGACAAGCTGCTGTCCCGGCTCGCTGTTGGGCCAGAAGAGAGGGGTCTCTCCAGTCTGACGTTCCTGGCACGCTATGACGGGAAGCCTTGTCCCTTTGAGGGCAGGCAGCTTGGAGCTGACACTGGTGTCTTGTTTCACAGGCTGGAGAAGTCAGAAACCACAAAGAACAGAAAACAGGACAGAAAACAAGAAGCTCAAGTCCCCAGCAAACAGCTTCTGTGAATAAAGACCTCTGGGAATTCCTGGAAAACGTTGTTCAAAAGACCTTCCTCCCTTTCATGATGGTGGTGTGGAGGGGTGGGAGTCTGGCCCTGGCAGGGCTGTGCTGTCCTGGAACGGCCCAGATGGGCTCAGACAAGCAGTTGTGTGAGCAGGGCTGAGGCTTCAGGAAGCTCAGGTACGACCCTTGAAGGAACACCTGAGTAGCCGAGTCAGTAATGGAACTAAACACACAGCTGAGCTTTGAATATTGCTGCTTTTTTCCCCTGATGGATTTTATGGGATGTAAAAAGCACTTGAGGAAAATATTTATCCCCTTAAAATAGGGAACTTTTCCTGCACAGTCCTGGGGCTCCACTATAGCCCCCTTGCCTGTGTCTCTCGTATGGAATCTCTATACCACAAGGGTTTGGGTTGGAAGGGACCTTAAAGCTCATCTCATTCCACCCCCTGACACCTTCCCCTAGACCACGTAGCTTGAGGCTCTGTCCAACCTGGCCTTGAACACTTCCTTCCTTTACCTTGTGTGAGGAGCCATCTGGTGCTCTCTTGAGGACATTGTAACCATAGATGTGATAACCAGCCTGCTCAGCTGTCTCTCCCAGAGAGCAGCTCCCACTCTGCTCACTCCAGGAATACATCCTCAGGATGGCATTCAGGCTGAGTACCCAGAAGGACTAAACAACCCCTGAGGAGAGATGGGGTCTGTCCTGGCCCTTCTCAGTGTTGTCTCCTCTTGCAGGGAGAGGGCTGAACAGCTGTTTTGAAGTGATTGTCCTTGTCTCACCTTTGATCCACAGGTTTGTGGCCAGGCCAGAAGTACCTAATGGGGGTTAGAAATTATTCCATGGGGCTATGGTGCCCATGGATCTGTTAGGTCCCTCAAGTGAGGTTCTTTGTGGGCCAAAAGACATCTGAACAAGCCTTAATGGGGCAATCCCTTCTGTTCCAGCTCTGATCTCTGCTCTTTATTCTGGAGGATGAAGGATCTCTGTACGGGTTAAACATGACCTACAGGCATGATCAGAATGGGGCAGAACATGTATTTCAGGTCCACACACACCTTCCTGAGGCTTTTCCACCTGCTGCAAGGCTTAGTGCACCCTTTTTCACATCAGTGCTGCTGGAAGCAACTGAGCACTGATACCCTAAGACAAGTGGTAACCATTGGGGACCTCTAGTAAATCCTTTCCAGGTCCCATCAGTGCACGTGTCATCTTTCAGGGGTCCTTTTTGGGGGACTGTGAGCAATTTGAATGTTGCCTGGCCTGTGTCACCAGGTGCAGCAGGAGCCCCTGGGGCTCTTCCCTGGGTTCCCAGTGGTCCCCACACTGCCTTTGCTGTCCCAGCTCAGCTGACCCAGGTCCCCTCACCCCGTCCTGCTGTGGGTCACATCTTCCCCTGCAGCGTCTGCTGCTCCCCTCGCTCCTGCCATCCCTGTGCACACCCTTCCTGCTGCAGCCCCCACCCCGTGCCCTCATGAGGTGGGTGCTGGCTCCCTGCTGCCCTGCTCTTGGGGACAGGAGAAACACACCCTCTTCCCAGTCCCCTCTGGTGCTGGCACCCGCGGGCTGTGGCTGCCCGGCTGGACACGGAGGGGTCATTCTGCCCCGGTGACAGTGACCCTGCTGGCACCTCAGTGCGAGGGGTTGTTTGTGTCCCCCGGTGTCTGGTCCTGCCCTGCGCTGTGATTCCCTCCCGGGAGGGGTCAGTCCTGCTGCCCGC